AATTATTCAAAGTTTTGACATTCTTCTCCCCAGGAATCTTTATAAGGTTTTTCACATTTACTTATCATTTTGGCGACAATTTCTCCTGTAAAATCCCATCTAATCAAGAACAGACAGCAATTTGCTGCTAAATGTGCTCTCTACATGCAGTATATAAACTATGCAACATTTTCCTTTCACCTTTGAACCTTGGGTTTGAATTCAAGCCACACTCCGGAAACGGCCTGAAAATGTTCAAAATATACATGTTAAACCCAAGTCCTCCATTAGAGAAATTAGTAATAATATTGCATTCAGTTATTCTGGATCCAATCTGCAAAAGAGTAATGTGCATAATTGAACCCATCCTTTATACCTCTATTTCATTAACTTTTCTGTGATATTTTTCAATGCATAGTATAAACAGAATACATTGAGAGACGTATTGTCTATAATTGATATTCAATTCATTGCTCTGAGTGTTCGCTAGTCGTGAGATTTTAGGTAAGATTATCCAAGGCATATAAATCATATATAACAGAATATAAATTTCATTTATGTTCTCTGTATTTTACTATTGTTGTTGGGTTGTCACTGGTACATTACGACTAGATATTTATGCATACTGTAATTGCTTAAATTCAAAAGATATTTATGAAATCCTGAACAGACTAAAATGTCTTTGTTAAGGCAGAGAATAATTAGTGTCCGGTTAACCACAGTTTACTGTGGATTTAATCCATCCAGAATTATATTTGCAAAATACAATAGTGACATCCAGTGGTACAAAGCTAGTAGTACACAATCTACATGCAAAAGTACTGCATGGATTGAAAAAATATTTCCATTATACACAATATATGTCACAATGAAAGTAGATACAAAACATATAAATGCTTCATTTGTTTTGTACTATCTAGCATTAATAATACTATTTTCCCCAATGCAAACAAGCTCAGTTGTGGCTGGACTGGGTTCTTTACTGTTGAATTTCGCTGACATTTCATTCCATGATATGCAAATCTAACAGCTGTGAAGCATTGTAACATATACAGCATAAAGAACTGCTAAGCAACATCTGAATCTGCAAGTTACTGTTGTCTGCCCAAATATGTCAGATTGAGTTTTACTTAAAGAGCCATCACTGTTAACATTTTTCAAGTAAGTTTTTATTCCAGGAGAGAACAACTCTTGTCAAAATAGTAAAAATGCTGATAGTTCCTAAATGTAGCAAATACATCTGTGTAGATAAAGTAACCAAGGAAACTGTCAGGACATCTCAAATCAGTTAGCATAACAAGAGTACAATTGCTATGTAAGACTTGACCTTTATTTGATAGATTTCCTGTCACATTTGCTACACATTTGCTTCACAATCATAACTGCACTGCTGATTGTTTGTGAATGTCTAGTCTTCTAGGCATCCATTCCACAAATAGTTTTGCAATACATCCAGTAAGTTAGATAAGACCCACCTTTTAGTGGATGAGAGCAGGCATTTGGAACAGATCAATCTCCTTTTTATGGCTACCTAACTGATCTGATATCCTGATTGAGAATTCTACAACAGCTCATCCTTCCTGACAACCCACTCTATTGTTCTCCCATGGCAGCCTCAAGCTGTTTCTTGATTGAATTCAGCATCTTGACATCAACCATTCTTCCTGATAATAACTAATAGTTCATGGTGTCTGTCCTCAACTGTGAACCTGTGCTCTCTTTTTCTATTGTCTTGGCATATCTGAAAGTATTGTTCTCAATCACATTTATAATCTAATATGCCTCTATAAGATCCCTTCTGAGATGTCACTTTTCAAAGCTGAAGAACCCTATCTTATGTAAGTGTTGCTTATAGCTCATTCCTCTGACATTGGCCTTCAATCTGGTTGCTTTCCTCTTCTCTGCCCTACGGACATGAGCAACTCCCTTGTGTCCTGGCAACTAGAACTGTAAGTAATACATGTGTGTTTTGATCAGAGCACCTGACACTCTGAGCATGACAAATGGGGATCTAAATTCAACTAATTTGCCAGTATTGTCTGGCTCCTATGCTAGGAAGTGCAGGAGATTTTTTTTTAGTAAATGGTAATGGCTTGTAACATATATTACCATCTTGGTGGTGCAATGAGGAACCAAAATAAATATTCACACAGGAATCTGACAAAGTCTTTTAAAGTCTTGCATATTAAAATGATTTATAGTTATCATTGAATAATATTTTATATATTTGGATAGGAAGGGTAGATGGATCAAATGTACAGCTACCTAACTATGTTAGAGCCTGAATTTGTAACTAATATACTAAGGTCATTAATATGTGTACTTTGGCAACTTATCTTTTGTTGAGCAATATATATTTTAACTACAATAGAACGTTTTTTGAAATGTGAGTAAACATTCCTGTTTTGTGTAGTAAGATGTTGCTTTCCGATCTCCCGTCTGTCTTACTTTCCACTTTTATATACAAACGTGTTTCTTTCATGTTTCATAAACTATGTTTCACATAGCTGTAACACAGTTCCACCCATTTGCAGTGATTGGTAGTTACCTCAGAGCAGACTCTCACGCTGCTCAGATAATTGATGATAAAGGCAAAAGGTGAAAAGCTGCAAAAAATATTTTCCAAAAATCGTACAATCTTTTATAGTGCATATGCTCTTGTCCATCACACATCAATGCATTAGAACCCACTATGCCAGTTATCAGAGCCATTTGTATCTCTGTAAGAGATGTTAACACAATTTGTAAGTTTTGTTCTGAGACTCAACAGAAAGTACTTACAAGGATATTGTGCGTATCCAATTCCTGACTTGTCATTTACTGACTGCCACCTGACAAAAATGACTTGTTATAAGTCAGCAGAATTGTTGTCAGCTTTACAGAATACAACAAATGGGTTATAAACTGGCCCAGTAGAAAGGAGCAGAATCATTTGTCTAAAATTGCGGGTAAATTTGGGAAATTGCAAGGAGTTGATTGGTGCTATTGAGGTAGATTTTTACTGCCAACCTAAATTTGTTCACTTTATTGATACAAACTAAACATGAGGAAATAACACTTACTAAAAAAACTGGGTGACCCATTTGGGGGTGGGGGGGAAACGACACCAGCGATGGCCCAAAGATCTGCCAAAAAACAGACACTCCAGATCAGTGTCCTGACTGTAGGGCAATAAGAGCTCAACACCTCCTGCCTCTCTGGCCCCAGCACCACACACAGACAGAGATACAGAGACACACACACTCAAAATCACAGACATACATTCTCCAAGGAAGAGAAACACACACACACTGACACAGAGATATATACACACACACACAGAGACACTCATAAACACACACAAAGAGACACAGAGTCACTCGCAAAAGGAACACATACAGAGAGAGACACACTCAGACACACACAGAGACACTCACAAACACATAGAGACTCACGCACTCAGACAGCACTACTTCTAGCCGCTCAAGTAAACAGCATGGGGGGGGGGCAAGGCCAGAAATGTCATTGTTTAGCGGGTTTATAGCGTAGGGTGTTGTTTTTAGCGGATTCTGCAGAAAAATTGTGCCGCACTTTTCTATTGGCCCAGGTTGTAATCAATGTTCTGCTGCAGAAAATGCAGTTTTGTTGCCTGTCACTTTGAATCTATGCTGTTCAAAACAGTTAATCAACAGAAAAACGTAGTTTGTCTCAAATTAAATATGAACACATAAGAAATGATTGTATTTAAACCACAACTTTAATTCTTTTTTAGGGGTGGGTTGTGGGGGCGATGTGATGATGGCTAATGTATTGCAAAGAAAACAAATTTAAGTGGCCACAAAGTAGCAGTTCACCACCCGAGGATATTGTGGATCTTCCAGTTCTTTAGTGCTGTTACAGACAGGTTTTAGACCATCATTAATACAGCTCATTTAATCAGGACAGCAGCTAAATGCTGCAAAGAGAAGACATAGAACACTTAATAATAGGTAGTCCAACATCCAACATGTGTTACGTGAGCTCTGGACTTTGATATTAGTGAGCCAGAGATGCTAAACAAGCTCAAATTGGCTGGAGACCAATATTTTTCCAAAACAGAAGAACTGTACACTGGAATAGGTAGAGAGACGGAGAGAGATTTGTGAAGCAGACTTGTCAGACTCTGCCACTCCAGGATGCTACCCCACGTGAAAGGTGCTATATAAATACAAGTTGTTGTTATTGAAACACAACGATTATATTGAGGGAGTCGATGAACCCTGGGTAAATGTTAAAGCCTGGCCAAGTAAGCCAATGTCAAACAGTGGTCATATCTTCTCCACCATAACCCGTGGAGTGTCTGGTGGATTCTTTGGTTCACAGGATCACAAAGTCTTGTAGCTCAGCGGTTAACGCACTCGCCTCACAAGCGAGAGACCTGGATTCGATTCCAGGCAGGGTGAAATATTGGGCAAGTTTCCTTACTCCACAGTCCTCTGTTTACGCCGCAGTAAGTAGCGAACCCGGTTGTTAGTCGATTGGCGGATCGCTTTTCCGGGGTGGGGGGGGGTAATAACTCCTTAAAAAAATAATAAATCGAATTGGTCACTTCAATCCACGACTGTTTGTGGGGCACTGCTGCGCGCAATTGGCTGCCGCGTTCCGCGTGCAACGTATGCAGTCAACCCACTTCACAGCATATTCCGTGAAGCGCTTCGGGACGCCTCTGGCGGGCGCTCCTTCAAAGGCAGAGGCGTTATAATTTATTGTGTCAAGGAGACACACCACAGGCGGCTCGAGTGAGACCATCGCGGCCGCCAACACAACGCTCGGTTCTTCTGACCGAGCTGAGCCTTTTTGTGGTGGTATTTTCCATGGCGTCTCACCGTCAGTCAGTCACAGTCACTCAGGGCCTCTCCTGGTTGGGCTCAGGAGGAGAAGCCCAGCGGCCATCCGCCCCGCCCGCCCGCTCGCGTCACTTCCTGCCGCCGCCGCTCCACTTCCGGCGGGCTGCAGGACCCGGCTGTCCGCGGGGGGCAAAGCGCCGCTTCATGTCGCGGCCGATGATTTATTTTCACAGGAACCATGAGCGCTGTCTGCCGCCGGGGCCCGACGCGCGGAGAGGCCGCGACACGGCGCTAGGGGACGTCCTCAACGGCGGCTGCTGCTCCATGGGCGAGGCGGCGGCGGCGGCCAAGCAGCGAGAGGCCGGCGGCGACTGGACCCGGCCCAGCCCGGCCACTCCGGGCTCCCCCGGCGACGGTCTTTGCGCCTCTGCCCCGGCTCCCGGTGCCGGGCAGGCGGACGGTCCTTGCGCCTCTCCCCCGGCTCCCGGTGCCGGGCAGGCGGACGGTCCTTGCGCCTCTCCCCCGGCTCCCGGTGCCGGGCAGGCGGACGGTCCTTGCCCGTCTCCCCCGGCTGCTGGAGTCGTTCCGGCGGACGGCTTCTCAACGGCCGACGGTGGCGCCGCCCCCCTCTCTCCTCCTCCTCCTCCTCACAGTGCGAGGCTGTTGTCTTCCTCCTCGTCCCGCTGCTCCCTGAAAGAGCCAAACACTACCGCAACCTCCTCCACCTCTACCTCCGCCGGACACGCCTGTCAGGAGGACGGCGCCTGTCCGGGCTGCTCGGGACTCAGGACTGGCCCGGGTACGAACACGCTGCAGTTTATGGACGTCAGTTTGAACTCCAGGAACAGCTTCGAAATCAAACGCAGGCAGAGCGCGCCCGAGCACCTGGTGGACGGGGCGGCGACTTTGGCCGCAGACGCACTGTCGGCATCGACCGACGAAGGAGAAGCGGCGGCGGCGGCGGCCAAACCCAAGAAACTTGGCATAGCCGAGTTTATTACCAGGTAAAATGCTGAAGGGTGTCGTTCCCGTTCAGTGGCTGTACACGTTGTCACCGACCCGGACCAAAGCGTTTTGCAATCGCGCAGTGCGGTTAATGAGGCGGATCTCTCCCAATTATTTCGACGCTGCTGTTGGAGCGTTTGACACGAATCGATCTCAGCACAGCCCGATTTTCAGCGTCTTTGCTCCCAATAAGTGCTGAGTTCCTAACTTATCGCGCTTTTGGATGCTGTAGGTAAGGACGTAAAAAAAGAGAGGAACATTTTCAAAAAAATTAGACTGAATGCAATGGAATTCTTAAAAAATATTGGTTTTTACCCATGTCGGGGTACCACTGAACTTGGAAATTGTTTCCAAGCTGTTGTAAAATTGTTGTTGGATCTGCTATGGCAATTGCTCATACGTTTTTGTTCTGTTCTTTGTTAAGATGTTGCTACAATAAGCTGTAGGTCAAAGGGTGGCAATGCATGTTCTTGAGGGATGAAGTTTCCATTCCAATAGCAACGTTGTATATCTTAAAAGTACCACTATCTTTACAGATAGTTTGCACATTCAAAAAATTTACCGCCTCTTAAAATATTTTGATGATTGCTCCAAGGTATTTTGCTCAAATAAACAAACCCGTCAGTTGCACATTTCTAACAAAAAGCAATGCATCAGGAATCATCAGTAATTGTGGAGGCTTGCCTTTCCAAAATTATATTGTCAAAATAAGTATTGCTAATTTATAATTATACATGTCCTTAATGCAAAAATCCTGGATTATCCTTAATGCACAAATCCTGTTGTGAAAATGTTAGAATACTAGTTTCAAGGATGAAAAGACTTGGCTTTACCACTAGTGTTTACTTAAAGTGAATTTGAGAAATTTGATAGTAAATCAAAATATGGAACATTTTTTTAATTAACAGAAATGTTGGCATCTGGGGTGGATATTTTTAACAGCTGATATATTAACTTTTGTCCTTATTAAAATAAGATGTTAATTCGAAAACAGTGTTAGCTGATATTCTGAAAAGTTTTCTTTGTGAGCACATTCAGAATTTCATCCAGAGGGATTGTGTTCCAAACATTGCCTAAATCATGCAAACTAGGTTATCAACAGTGGCTTGGCTCTCCTTTGGGTCAGTGGGTTATGTGTTTAAGCCCCACTTTAGGACTAGGCTAACACTCCAATGCAGTAATGTGGGTGTGTACATTGTTACATTATTTATTCAGCTGGATGCTAAAGATCATTTGACAGTGTTTGAAAAGAGAATGGATTTTCTCCTTGTGTCCTAGCTAATAATCTTAAGATCTAAGAATTCTGCACAGTGAATAATAATATTTAAGCGAGTCTCCACATTGTTGACTGTTTTGTAGAAATGCCCCCCCCCCAAAAAAAAAGAAATGATCTGTAGCTTGAGCATTTTGGGAAATAATGAAATATTAGAGACTTGCTCACTAGTGTCACAAATTGTCTAAATAGTTTGAGATAGGTGCCTGAATTTAATCAAGCCCTGATTTCCCACTGAATTTCAATACGTTATATTTTGATTTGATAAATTTTGTATTTGAGGATTTTAGTGCTAAAATGACATTTTATTTTCCACTTCAGATTTGCATTGTCTGCAATAAGACCAGGTCAAATATAGCATGGTTGGATGCAAAATTTTGTTTATTTTAACTCCCAAAATGTGCTCCAGTCATAATCTAAGAACACATTGAGCGCATCAGTTGCTCGGTGATTTTTCTGACTGGTATGTTGAACCAAATTAAGAGTAATGAGCGTAGGAACTGGATTGAGATGACCTGTTAGTTAGTGTTTTATTTGGTTAATAGTGGATGAGCTTGGTAGTGTTGTAATAGTAGAAGCATTCCAGGTCGTGCTACCCTATCTTTCTGGATAACGTTCTAAAAACAAGATACGGTATGATGACTGGCAATCCAATAGCCTTAATCAAACATTTAGTAGGTTCAAGAGTATGGTACTGAATAGCTTACAAAATATATTAACTTATGTAGTGCAATTTTACCACCTTAGCCTCTCCTTCATCAACTATAAAATCTGTCCTAAACCATATCTGCACTTTCAGTCATCTTTTTTCTCTCATTCCCCCCCCCCCCCACCCCAACTCCCAACCAGCTCATTGATTTCCCCCTGTGGGTGGGATGCATGGAAATCTCATCTTGGTTTGAATACTTGTAAGCATGGTGATGGGTTTCACATGTTTCAGACACCCAGCTGATTTAAAAATACAGACTAATTGTCAAGCTCACATATTATTACGCTTTTCTTAGAATAAATGTTTCAGCACTGGCAACAATTTAGCTTTTTATTTGTGCTGAAAATGTAGCCACATTAAGGTGGTGCTATTCATTTAATTGAAGAACAGCTGCAAGCAGCCCTACAACAACAACAACAAGATTCCATTTATAGAGCGCCTTTCACGTCGGGAGGACGTCCCAAGGCGCTGTACAGTTGGGTCTACTAATTCATTGCTTTCCTTAATGAACTCTTGGGCGTCGATACACCAAAGTTAGCATTGCTATATTTTCCAGTATGTTCTCTGGATTTGTTTCAGAATAAGAAATCTAGCATTATGCGGTACCTGTTTCTACGGCTGAACTTAAATGCAGTGTAATTTACTTATTTGTAATATTTGTAGTAATTGTTTGTAGTAGTGATAATTGTCATAATTTGTGCTAATGTTTACTTTAATTTTTTCAGAAATGTTTAGATTTAATCAAAGCCCTCCATGGTCTTGCTCCATCCTACCTCTGCATTCTTCTAACCCCCTACCAACCTGCCTGCTCCCTCCACTCAGCTCAGCCTCCTCCTGCCCTCCACCCTCCCTGATTTTGAACCCCAGCTCGGGTCCAAATCCCTTACTGTCCATCGCCTTGGAACGTCCTTCTGACGTGAAAGGCGCTATACACATGTAGTTTGCATTGTAAGTAACACTCTTTGTGTTCTCATTTTCATCAGGTCAGCATCTTCTATAATATTTGTTTCAGTCATCAAATGGCAATTTCTGATCAGGTGTGTACTTGCTTTAGGTGTAGCTGGTTTATGACTAGCTTCTGTGAAGAAAGCATATGGTACATTATGCATGACTTTATAAGGATGCATCCATTTGTAATTTCAGTTCAGACTGCACAGACATGTTCATGTAACATATTGTCAATCGTAGAATATGATTGATGTGGTACTTACCACAAGTTCTTTGAAGTAGTGTAATCCAGTTAACAGACCAAACCCGTTGAGATGTTCCTTGCTGAGTAAATCCACCATTTTTTTCTTGATGTATTGTATTCTGATTACCTATGGTGCCCATCCACAACTATACGTGCCTTTCATCATTAAAGCAGTGGCACCTGAGACAGTGTTTTGATCAATGGAAATTACTTTGTATATATACTCCCATGTATAATGTGACTTGTTGAAACCTGCTAAATGTTTACCTCACTTCTACCAGTTTATCAGCACTTACAGAGCCTCCTTGCTGCTAGTGTTGACTAGCAGCAAGGTGGCTTTGCAAGTGCTCATTTTCCACTGCAAGTCCATATTTTATAGGTTAATTTTTGGCCTTGTTAAATTATAGGATTTGCATGTACCGTTAGTAGCTTCAGAAGTTTGAAAAGATTATGTGAGTAGTGAGACTGGTTGGTACTTTTATAATAATAATAATAATAATAATAATCCTTGCATTTGATATAGCGCTTTTCACGTCAGGAGGACGTCCCAAAGCGCTTCTCAGAAGACACTGTAAGGTGAATTGACTGTATATTTGTGGGCGAACGCGGCAGCCAATTGCGCACAGCAATGTCCCACAAACAGTCGTAGATTGAAAATGACCAATTTATTATTTTTTTTTGTTTGTTTTTTTTGGAGGGATTATTATTAGGCGTGTGGAGTAAGGAAACTTGCCCAAGGTTTCGCCCTCTGCCTGGAATTGAACTCAGATCTCTCGCTTGCAAAGCGAGTGCTCTAACCACTGAGCTACAGGACTCCACAATATATTTATATCTGCTCATGAAATTAACATTTCTTATATTAGTAATTAGACCTGTTGTGAGTTCCGATGAGCTTGGTGGCTTATCATGCTTTGCTTTTTGTAGATTAACAACCTATTTGTGTTATATTTGCAAACCACTGCCAGAAGATGTTTGAAAATGGAATAAATGAGTTGCAGTTGGAATTAGAAATGTTTTTTTTTGTGAGTCATTGACTGTGTTCCAGCCCTGAAATAGACCTTTTGTGTGGCCCCTGCAATATTTATTGGGCCAAGTATTAATATACAATTGCACCCTGAGTAATCTTTTACAATATGTTATGATTGGGTAATCATTTTATTTCTGTAACAGTAGTAGCAAAATAACTATTTGATATGACCAAGAAATGTGGATGCATATTTCAATTCAGTGTAAGATTTTATGAATCTTTGGGCTTTTGAATGAATCTGCTTGTACTTGGTTTGGAAAAATACTTAACATGAATGTCAATTTTTTTGTGCAGTCCTTTGCTCAAACTATACTAAATTCTACTTCACACATAGGAAATGTTCACGAAAGCTACAGTATGTATAATTGTGGTATATCATATCTAAATCATCCTTGTTCAAACTAAGTAGATCCATAAAAGGCTTGGAAATCAAATTGTCAAACTTGTAATGATGGGAGTTGAATGAATTTCAATGAATATTGCCTGAAGAGGATACCTTGCTAAGTGTCAAATTCAGTGCTAGGGTGACTGGGGAAGCCTGTTTGGCTAACAAAAAATGCTGTTTGAGATAAGGGAGGGAATGAGGAGGATATTTCTTGTAATTGTAGGAGTTTTTTTTGTATGAAATTCTCCAACCAGGAGGATGTGAAACTGTATTTATTTATTGATTGATTTAACTGGTTTAAATCAGCTTTGCTTTTTCATTTCCTTTTTGCTGAACACAGACAAAAAAAATGAGTAGGCAGTGGGGTGCTTGCTTTTTGGTGGAATTGCGAATGTTTTCCTCCTCTTATGCAA